TCAGTGACATAATACACTTTCACTATGACATGAGAAATGCCCACATTACTAAGTGTAGCAGCTGGGATTGTAGCATGACGCAGCGGAATACAGTTACGTTATGTTTTGTTTGGTCACACACCTCTTTGTCCTCCCATTAAAGTTCTTCTGCCTTACAGATTAAATCATATTGTGCAGTTTATGTTCTGCTTAATATCGCTGTTCAGTAACTCGGAATTAGAGCGCCGAATGGTTCACTGATATTGAACAGTGAAATGGAAGGGATTTGGAAGAAATGTTGCTGGCCTACTCGTTAAGATGCTGTTACAGAATTTGTCTGGCGAGACTGAAGAAGACAACGAAGTACTTAAGTCAGGATGATCGGTTCTCAGACGAAATTCGAACTAGCATCTTCCGAATACAATTCAGAAGTAGCACTGCTTTAGCCAAATAATTCAGTGCATTTTAAAATATTCTGTTTAAATATATTTTTATGTGTACAATAAATATAATCGTACCAATGTGAGTCGTTAGGGTGAAATGTAATCACTGCTTTACGTTAAGTCAGTTGCTTATTTTCTTAAAATATAGTCCATTAGGTGAAGGTAAAGTCGTCCCTTTTCTTGATTAATTTAAGACTACTGCATGAATGCGTATGGGGGAGTGGATGTAGAGATCCATAATTTCTTGACCTCGGCACTCGTTGGAGGTGAGTGGTTACATTCAAGCCCCGGCCGATTTATTCCCTGGGAAAGACCCTCAAGTAGCCATTAGATAGAAGGCTCGGTGGGCCCAAGAGCCGGTCTGGAAGACGGACAAGAGAAAATTTGTCACCCTACCGGAAATGGTCCTTGGTTGTATACGAAGACATCAAGGCCTACAAAGAGCACAATAGAAACATCCTTAAGTGCTTCAGACTTTAGTTAAATATTTTTACACAAAATATAATTTTGGACTCTCCATTTTGATATGTAGTGTGATAAGCTTTGGAGAAATAGACTTATACCTGCACTAGATAAACATCAAACATATTCCGGTAAAAAGAATGAACCATATAGGGAACATATGTGTAAACCCTATTGAAGTAGACTTATAGTTTTCATTTTTATTTTCATTTGTCCAAGATTATGGTTACATAAATATTAGCTGACTCCTCGGATCCGGTTTCAGCATTACGTAAACTGTAAGTAGGCTTTCAACAGATGAAGTGAATGTCAGCGATTCGAAACGTTAACCAGGTTGTGAGCAGACATTTTGGTGAAGACTTTCCGCATGCTAATCATCTCTGACACTGAAATTGAGAATGATACAGTCAGTAGACTAACAAAACTTTATGCTTTTACTATAAATTTTGCATTTTCCTTTGAAGTGCTACTAGTGTACGTCCGTAAATTGGTATTGTGATGCTCCATAATTTAGAATTAAATAAAAAAAGCAACTTACTATGCCATATTTTGGGTATGTCATAGTATTTAATATTCGTAAACATTAATGACATAATAACCTCACGAAATCTAATGATGAGTCCATTCAATGAACTGAGTGATTCTCATGTTCAAAGGAGTAAACTTAGTTGTATTACAATCGTCTCTACGTTTTGAAAGACTGACACTCAGAATCCCCTTATTCATTGAGAGGGAACGAATAAGACTTAACTTTTGATAAAAGAGAGTTGTCTGTGTCTTTTTTTTTTAATGCTAGTGGGGTGGGACTAAGTCCCCTATACTGCGGCCACTTCTGGCCTATTGTACCTGCCCCAGATGATAGGTGAGGGTGATTGTGGAGCAGTTGGTGGAATGAAGATTGGAAGGGGAAACCGAAGTACTCGGAGAAAACCTGTCCCAGCGCCACTTTTTCAACCACAAATCCCACTTGACCAGACCCGGGATCGAACCCGGGCCGCCGCAGTGGGAAGCCAGCGACTACCGCTTGAGCTATGGCGCGGCCCTTGTGTGTGTCTTTGTTCAACGATAGGAATGTTTAGGCTTATAGAGATAAAGCAACTGGAGTATGGAGGTATTTTTCTAATAAGAAACTTTATAATCTATACTGCTCATAATCATCATCATCTGCAAAGCAGCTTTCTTCGAGCCGTAGGCTTCCTTAGAAGATTCTGCAAGATATGTAGAAATTAGACCACCCGGTTTTCACTTCTTTGGATTTCGCAAAAATAAACTTTTGACAGAGCAAGGTCTTCAGCTTTACGTCCGCTCCCCCAGGCTGGACGATCAGGTCCTTGCGTTTATGTTCCCCCGTGACAGGGCAGTCCATTTATACCCCCAGACTCCTGATTTCATTTTCGTTTTCTTCTACCACTCACAAGGGTACCGTGGAGGCATTCTAAGCCGCCTCCCCACGGGAATTCTGTTGCTCATCAGAGTCGACTCTCTAGGTCAAGTTTAGGATTGGCAGATGGGAGCAGATACATGGCACGCGTGGTAAGGATGAGAAATATTTGCCGGAAACTTTGACTGAAAGAGATATATTGGGAAACCTGAATGCAAGTGGGAGGTTGCACGTAAAATGGACCCCGGAAATGGAATAAAGTTATGGGCATAAATTGGATTAAACTGGCTGAGTTCAGGGTCCGGAAATTGGCTGTGGTGAACATGGTAATGGAGATTCGGGTTCCTAACACGTGTGGGTAATTTCCTGATAAGTTTTTTCTTTGGTCTCTGCTCTGTGACACAGTTGACCCACAAATAAGTCAGGAGTCGAAATGTATAGTGACATTGCGTTCAGAGTGCACATGTGTTTGAAGTTGTAGATCAATTATCTTTCGAAGACTCAATAAAATTCCATTATTGAACACCAATAGTAATGTAACTGAACCCAAACCATACTTCATTTTCTGATCTGTATGTAATAAAGTAAAAGTAAAGTGAAGGTATCCCTGTAACAGGCCGTGGAGGCCCATAGGGTTGTGAGACGTTGAACGTCCCGNTATTCCTGGTACTCGTTTCTGTTAGAGGCTGAGTCGACCCCAGGGCCGTAGTGCGACTGGAAATATTAGGTAAATTGAAAAAATTCCACCTCTTAGGGATTCGATTCCGCGACTTTCCGGCTTGTAGTATAGTGCCTCAAACAACTACGCTACCGCGTCCCCCTAATCTGTAATTAATACAAAGTTATATGAGTCTCGTAGAATAATTCGCGGCTACTGTTGTGCCACATTAAACATTCAAATGTAATTCGAACTGAACCGGGAAATGCGAGTATGATCGTTGGGTAAGAAGTCCGCAGTAAATGTATGGAACTCATACACAGCAAATCCAGATGTGTCCATAAGAATTACTTGTCATTATGACACGAAAGTTTTGCCGATTGCAGATTACATAAAATCTTGAAAGGGACAACATTTTGCTTGTTTCGTAGCAAGATGGTGTAGCATAAACGAAACCAATAAGGAAATTTGTACATGGTAAATGAATTACTTTAAGTTGCATCCGTATAAACGGTTATGCGTGAAGACATTTACGAGTAAATTGAATTACCTGCAGTTACAGAACTCTTAAAGAGCCTGGTTGNATGAAAAGAGGAACAAGGAGAATAAACAGGAAGAACAAGAAAAAAAAAAGAAAATTATGTGACTGAGTCTTCTAGCATTTTGTACAGTGACGTAACTTTCGTTGCATACTCACATTTAGTCTTTAGAAATTTCCCGAACAAAAGTTGCGGTCGAATGGATACCATTTCGTACGGTTCCGCGTTCAAATTTCGGTCCGGAGGCCGGATGTTCTTGTTGAGGCTTTTTGTGTTTTTCCTCAGTCCCTCCAGGTAACTGCCTTGATAATACCTCAGGTCAGTCCACTTCAGCTCCCTTCCACACAATCTCGAAATTATTATTAATTAATAATAGCCATATTATTGGATGTTATATAATCTGCATTACCGAAAGCATCGTTAAAATAACCAGGAATAAGAATCTGCGACTGAGTTTCGATTCAATTTTAATTGGTGCGATTCATTATCTCTCCCTTTTTTAAATAGCTGAAAGTTAAATCGTTAAATTTGGCAGAAAGTATTGGCCTGAATAACAATGCTTGCGTCATGCTCATGTACTGTTAAAATTTACCTGACGAAATTCAATCTGACCTTATATAAGGAGCAGTAACGCAGTTGTGTAGTTGACTTCCAGTAGGCTGTATGGAAGGGGGTGACTGACGCTGTTAAGGAACATTCTCATAATAAAACTCTTCTACGAAATGTACTGGCCGATCATCGTGCCCGTAAGCACGAGGTACCTTCTCCCATTCAAATGCTTGGGTCGGGGTTTCAAATCCCACTTGCTACATGTCTGCATTGTTTTTTTTTGTTGTCTCCTGTAGGTAGCGGTGTTATGACGGGCTGATCCCCCGTCTGAGGAACCTATTTAACAATCGTTGTAAGAATATTAAGACAGAGTTTTGGCACAAAAGTCAATACGTGGACCGTGAGAAGATGGAGACTTAATGTTTCCAGATTCGTAATAGCGATATTGGAACTAAATTAAAAATCCTCGTTTTCTTTTATGTCCCAGTAAAGCGGCCTCCGTAGTCTAGGGCTAACGTTCCCACCTCATGACTCAAGGTACGCGGGTTCAAACCCGGCGGAGGTAGTGGAATTTTTAAGGGGGAAAAAATTCAAGGAACAAGTCCTCCGGGAGGGACTTCTAGCCGTGGGTCCCGTGTCGTAGATTTACGGCACGTAAAAGATCCTCATGTCCCTAGGAGACCTCTGAGCAAAATTAGGCAAAAAGTT